CCAAGGTTCAGGAAACGGATCCAATGGCAGTGCTAATAACCAAGGTTCAGGAAACGGATCCAACGGCAGTGCTAATAGCCAAGGTTCAGGAAACGGATCCAATGGCAATAGTGCGAATAAGAAACGCGGTGGTGAAGGCCAAAGTAATAGCCAAGGTTCAGGAAGCGGATCCAATGGCAATGGTGATAACCAAGGTTCAGGAAACGAATCCAATGCAATGGTGTAAATAAAAAACGTGTGGTGAAGGTCAAGGCGAAGGTGAAAGCCAAAGTTCGGAACCGGATCCAATGTGGACCCCGAATAATACATTTAGAGGTTAAATTGAAATCTTGAATAGAAAGGTCATTTTTTACAAAATGTTATATTTAAAAAGTGGTTAAAGGTAATCTTTAAAAGTGGATAAAAGCTTTTAATATTAATCAAATTAGTAATTTTAGATAGGTTAGATTAGATAAGTTAATATTTGAAATTTGATAACAAAATAAAAAATAAAAAAAATAAAAATAAATAATAAGAGAATTTTTTTCAAATGAAAAAATTTTTTGAATAAAAAAAATAAATAAATAAGAATATTTGTCATATTTGCTAATTAGGTAAAGCTATTTAAATATTAAAGCTTATAATAAAAAGTGATTAAAATTTACAAAAGGTTTATATTAAAGCCAATATACAGTCAGACTTTCTAAATGCAATGCATGTAACTATATGTAAAAATTTAGCTAAATGTGCATTTAGAGAGGTATTGCGTTTAGGGAGGTAAAAATCTATAGCCGTAATATTAGTTTGACCCAAGAGAAACATGCATTTAGGGAGGCTTTTCATAGGACGTGCGCTTAGGGGTTGCATCAGGGGGTCTGACTGTAGCCTCTATATATTATTTGTGTGAATAAGAAATAAGGTAGTGAAGGCCAAAGTACAGGAACCAGATCAAATGGTGTGCTGCCAGTAGTAGTAGTACATCAAAGTTAGCTTACATTTTTCGTTATAAACTAATAGATTAATAAAACATATAAATTTTAAATTTTATATCGTCACAATACCATTTTCATAAAATTAAATAAATTTGCTATTTATAAAAAAATCAATTCTCGGATTTCTCTCTTATAAATAATTTCATTTTATTTTTATATTTATTTATTTATTTATTTTTACAGTACAGGACAGCTAAAGATATCCACTTTTTATATATAAAATATAAAAATGCTTATAACTCAGGAACAAATAGCTTTAAAAAAAAACTGTCTTACAAATTTTGTTAATTTTAGTCCAAACTACAATTCTGTTAGAATAGATTTTTATTATTACAATATCGGCAGATTTACAGAGTTGGTCCTAAATTGGATCTTAAGTTATTTGCAAAATGAACACAAAATTTAGATAATTTAAGGGGTAAATAGATACAATAACGCCGTTATTGTGTACATTTACCCCTAAATTATCTTAATATGTATGTACGTTAATTGTTTGCTACAAAATTTTGGGTTCATTTGACGGATAACTTTGAAGATACGATTTAGGATCAATTCAGGGCCAATTCCGCAAATCCGCCGATATGTTATAAAATTAAAAAGTTTTAGAGATTAAAGTTTATATTTAATCAAAATTTTGGCATTTAATATATATGTGTGTGTGTTTATATATATTTTTAACCAACCAGGATTCATTACACAAAGTTAGCCAAACATCATTTGATTATAAATCCCAAAATTTAGCGCTTAAAAAAAAAAATGGATATCTTTAGCTGTCCCATACTGTATCATCAGTGTAGACCAAACAATTTTTTTGGCCATTGGCCGGCCAGCAGCTAATTGGCTAATAGCTAAACTTTAGTCAAAATTTCCTAATTTATACAATATTAACCAATCATATTACTAGTTTGCTGTACAAAATATTTGGCGGCCATTGGACACTGTTATCATCTTGTTAGTTTTGCTAACTTGCATCATTTTCGGAACCTTTATCGCTTTCATATATCCAATTTTTTTAATTTCAGATTAGCGGAAATAGAAACAAGATCTTTACTTAAATTATTCCGTGTATCTGAATTGAAAAAAAGTAGGGTAGAATGTACTGTGCTTATTTTCCGAGTAAAAATTGCTTACTGAAACGGTTCCAATCCCTACTTATTAGATATTTGGAGGCGGAGTTAACAGATAATTTAACAGCCCGAGATGTGGTTTTTCCCCGTAAAAGTCAAATAGCGAAGAAGTTAAACGCCTCCATTTTTTGTGCAATATACAAAAAAAAAGAAAAAAAAAAGCTTTAAACCGTTTTTTTTTTTCTTTTTCACCCTGCTTCAGAATCATAATAGAATGCTCAGATTTAAGCGATTTTTCTGAGAACTATCATTTTCAAAACAAAGAAAAATGCATAAGTCTGGCATTTTAATATATGGGGCAGCGTCAATCAAAACGTGGCATAGTGAGATTGAATACTTTCCGAAAATTGTTACACAAAACGATAGCATGTCTAATAACATGTTGTTTATAATAAAAATATCAATAATGATTAAAAATATTCGTATTTTGATTGATAACACACTATGTTACAATTAGACA